TGATGCAGAGACTCTTCCCCCAGCAGAGCCGGCTTTGCAGAGACAGCAGCAAGGAGGACTCCTCGTGGTCTCTCATGGATGCTCGTCCCCATGCAGGGCTGCAGACTGGGGCCAGAGCCTGTCTTCACCCCCAGGCTGGCTCTGTCCTTGTGCTGCTCTTCCTCCCCATGCCATGGAGCAACAACCTGAACCCTCAGCAGCACCGGACTCCAGCTCATGGAAGCTGAAAGATGTGGTACTAGTTTTTTTTCAGTCTGTGTAGCTACTGTTGAGTTAATGCAGTATTTTAAGAAAATTTTCCTGGTTTACCCTGACACAAAAATAGTACAGGTTCGTGCCATAACCTTATACCTATACGTCAAATGATCCTGTTGTTTTGGTTTTTAATTTATTTATTTGCCAGGCAAAAATGTTAATGGGATAATGGTCGGTTTGCTATAATTGCAAGAATTTACACACTTGATTTGAAAAAAAGAACCTACTGTGATGCCATAACACCCATGTGTCATTGGTACCTTTTTAATATGTAAATAATACATTGTTTGGCTCTCTAGTGCAATTTTGACAGTATATACTCTCTTACCATAGGACCAGCCAAAAAATATCCAACAAAAATATCAGCGTATTCCTGGGTTTAAACCTCAGACTCAGCGAACAGACTTTATGGTGATGTACCAGCCGCTTTGCTGCAGAGACAAGAACACTGAGATGTAAAAGCCACAGTCCTCCCTTAATCAAGACCGGTGGGGGGAGAGGCCATCAGCCCTGTCCCTGCTTTATCTGCCACCTCCTGCCTGCATGGTCACCTTGGAAGATGCTGGACAGAAAATACACCTCTGCTTGTCACCTTCCAGCTCTCACAGTCACCTGCTCGGGCACAGAGGCATCTGCATTTTCTGGAGGGCAGCTTCTGACCGTGACCGGGGCTGTACTTGTAGCTTTACTGCCTGCCCAGATGGCAGACTTAATTTGGAACGTAATCTCTGGCCATCTTTCCAAAGACTGCAAATTACACACAAACAGCCTGAGGTAAAAACTTGCAGTTTTTGGTGTGGCAGAAATCCTGCAAAGGCACCCTCCTTTCTTACCTTTTATTGCAGGTGACTTTTTGGGCACATTCACACAGGGTTTGTTTCTGGAAGAGGTGGTTGCTATAGAAGCCTCCCTTTGATGGCTCTACCCACCAAAACTGAGTGGCTATAAACACAGGTCTTGATCTGGGTCTGCAGCATGTGTCTGCTACTCCTCTTGCTAGCAACACATGATGCTTGGTAAACGCCATTTGGCTGGCTGGAGAGAAAATGAGATTTAAGAAAAAGCAGGGATATGGCACCCATTGAATTTAGGGCAAGAGACAGTCTGGGGTGTCTCCAGGAACAGATTAAACAGACAACTGGATGCTAGGAATATGCCGGAGCAAAAGGAATTAGGCTGCATCCCCTTTTCCAGGTGGAGAACCTGCAGAGCCATGGTCTGTGCCTAACCCATGCAGACCTTTTAATTGCTACTAAAGACATAGGTGTGTCCCTCGTGGTTCTAACACAGATTCTTGGCAATGGCTCCAACAGACATTCAAAGGAAAAGGGTTATCAAAAAACCAAACCCTAGATCTTCTTCAACTAGATACCACTGCACCATCTCACAGGGGTGAGATGCTTAAAATTAAAGATGCTTAAATTAGTTTAACAGAATATCATTATGTATCCACCCTTCACATGGTGCCCTTCAGCATATTAAAGTCTATCCTATGCATGGCACATGCAAACAAACTTGCTGAAAGACAATCTACAGAGCTTGAGGAGTTACTGTCAGGACAGGAATTAAATGTCACATTAACATGACCCAGTTAACATGTTTAACACATGGCTCAGGGGCTGGTGCTGTCAGCAGAATTTTGGTTTTTTTGACCATGGGTGGTTTACACGGCACTGGGCCTCCGCGCAGCAGATGGAGTGCAACTGACGCCAAGGGGCAAAAGGATTCTTGCTCATGAGCTGGCAGGCCTCATCGAGAGGGCTTTAAACTAGATTTGAAGGGGGAAGGGGATAAAGCCAGGCTCAAGGGAGATGAGCCTTGGGGTGGCGTGCCAGAGTTGGGGGTGAAATCGATAGCCCAGCTCAAGTGCATCTACACCAATGAACGCAACATGAGCAGCAAACTGGAGGAGCTGGAAGCCGTTGTGCAGCGGGACAGCTATGATGTAGTTGCCATCACAGAAACATGGTGGGATGCTTCTCATGACTGGAGTGCTGCAATGGATGGCCATAAGCTCTTCAGAAGGGAGAGGCAAGGAAGGAGAGGTGGTGGGGTACCTCAGTATGTTAGGGAGAGTTTTGATTGTATAGAAATCAATGATTGTGTTGACCAAGTCGAGTGCTTATGGGTAAGGATGCAGGGAGAAGCAAACAAGACAGATATCCTGCTGGGAGTCTGTTATAGACCACCCAGCCAGGACAAAGAGCCAGATGAAACATTCTATAAGTGACTGGAAGAAGTCTTGCATTCACTGGTCCTTGTTCTTGTCGGGGGATTCAGTTTACCGGACGCCTACTGGAAGTATAACACGGCAGAGAGGAAACCATCTGGGAGGTTCCTGGAGTGTGTGGAGGAGAACTTCCTGACACAGCTGGCGAGTGAGCCCACCAGGGGAGGTGCCTTACTCGACCTGCTGAGGTGCTGGAGTGTGTCCAGAGAAGGGCAACGAAGCTGATGAAGGGTCTGGAGCACAAGTCTTATGGGGAGCGGCTGAGGGAACTGGGGTTGTTCAGTCTGGAGAAGAGGAGGCTGAGGGGAGACCTCATCGCTCTATACAACTACCTGAAAGGGGGTTGTGGTGAGGTGGGTGTTGGTCTCTTCTCCCAAATAACCAGCAATAGGACGAGAGGAAATGGGCTCAAGTTGCGCCAAGGGAGGTTTAGATTGGATATTAGGAAAAATTTCTTTACTGAGAGAGTGGTGAAGCATTGGAACAGGCTGCCCAGGGAGGTGGTGGAGTCACCATCACTGGAGGTGTTCAAAAAACGTGTGGATGTGGCACTTTGGGACATGGTTTAGTGGGCATGGTGGTGTTGGGTTGATGGTTGGACTTAATGATCTTAAAGGTCTTTTCCAACCAATGATTCTGTGATTCTCCAATTCTGTGATTCTGTGACCTCCATAAAACCTGCTCATTGCCATTGCATTTCTTCAAAACAGTGGCTAGTGCCATGTTGGGAGTTAACTCTTGCATCGAAAACCTGTACTACCTCACCACTGGAGAGATGAAATCTCAGCCTGGATGAGGAAAAATGATGATTTTAAATACAATGTGATCAACATGCTTACTGAATGCTGAAATATAGCAAGCTGACCTAAGATGCAGAACAGTAACAGATATACCATTGAGAGTTACTTAAAAGCAGTAAGCTTTTCACTTCATGATATTTTCATTTTGATTGGTCTTTCCATAACAAAAAACACAGTAAAATCAAATCAAAGAGTTTATTTGCATAGAAAATAGTAAAAATAGCACCACTGAGAGTGACACAGTAAAGACTGTTGAACCCTGGCATATGAACAGGTTATTTAATGTCATTTAATTCCATTTTTCAGTAAAACAGGCAAATTTTATCTGCTACTGGGTAAGAAAAAGACTCCAAGTCCGGCAAATGATTATATCTGGGCTTTAGCCTTGGGGTTAAGCCAGCCTCTGATTCTGGGCTGGTTATAGACAGCTGTGGCTTCTGCTTGGCTTAGCCAGCTTGGAAGCCCCATGCCGTATGGTGAATGGGCCAGCAGGGCAGGGTGCCTCTTTTCCGCCTCCAAAAGACCTGATGAGATTTCCAGACACATTCAGCACTTAGAGTCCGTGTCATGTTCATTACTCTGGTGCCTCACTACAAACTGCTTTGTGCAGAGCAGCTTTGAAAACGCAGCTGCTTTGCTGGCTGGCACATATATGCAAGGCCTGATCGCCTCTCAGATCCCCAACTTTGTGGGCGGACATGTCTTGGACAGAGGCTTAAACTTAAAAACGACCTATTGTGAAGGTCTTTTCAGACCCCAACCCTCTTTATTTTTTCTTTGCATTCTCAGGTTGATTTTGGCAATTAGCTGACAGGGGAAAGGGGCCAGTGGACTTGTTGCTGACTTTTTGCTTTCACCCTCAAACACAATTTCTTCCAATTTTCTGAACACCTCTTTGCTCTGACCTTTTCATCAGAGATCAACCTCTTCCTAGACCAACCTGCAACTTCTCACCTACCCTCTAAAACACGACCTTGCCAAGTTATTGGCATCATCCAAATGGTGAAGTTGGGTCACACTTGGCCTCCTGAGATTTTTAATACCAGGAAACTTTCTGTGCTGCTCTGGCTGATTTTTGGGTGAAGCAATGCTAGGCAGCTGTGTGTGTGCTGGCAATGAACAGGGGAATTGGCATCCCTGAGCTGACAGAAAACAGCATCAAAGTTTTTGGAGCGGCATCTCCCTGACAGAAGGAAGATAAGCTCCATCTGGTAGAACCAAACGCTCTGAGTACTGAAGTTCTTGCACAGGGAGCAGTGAATAGGTTTAGATCATCTCTGTGGTGTCTTCAGGCCTTGCTGTGAGATCCTACATGGTCCCATAAACAGCAGCTTCTATAAGATACAGATTCACTTATGGGCAGAAGAACATTAAATTTAGCAGGGATCTTCTGGGAAACATACACTAGCTGTTCATAACTGTCTGTCCGTTGTGAGTTGAAGGTACTGGAGACCTCTTTTCCAGCTTTGGCATGGCTTCGCCTTCCTCCTGCCTATGTGGATGGCAGATAGCACCAACAATCCTGTGATCAGCCTGTGTCTCACAGTTAATGCCCTGGGCTGCAGGATTTGATTTCAATTTCAAGGATGAGGGGTAAAGCTTTGGAAAGAATTAACCAGATAACAGACAAAAATTTTGGCATCGGAATGGTTTTGCATAAACAGCTGCACAATGCATTGATATTATATGCTCTTCAAAAGAGGAAAAAACCACTTATTTTTAATGTTTTAATATGCCCTGGTGTTAGTGAAAACAAAAACAATTTCACATATCACATCAAAGATAATAATAATAATTATAATTCATAAAAATAATCTGACCGACCGGCAGCATTTGTTGGCTTCAGAAGGCCTCCCATGAAAAAAACACAGTTGAAGACATCTGAGAGCTTTTGGCAGGTGTGACGAATTCAAGTTTTAAAAACAAGTCTGGGGATACTCTCTGCATGCTAGGGCCCTTTGACGTTGGCGGGTCTGGCAGCCAGGCTTGCATAGTAAGCACACTGAGTAGGGTCACACTGTCCGTTGGCTCCCGGAGGTCCCTGCGGGCCCATGAGACCAGGTACCCCAGCTTCACCTTGAGGGCCAGGTGGTCCTGGCATTCCATCTTTGGCATAACCAGGCTCCCCTGGGAGGCCTAAAATAAAAACAAAACATCCTTGGTAAGTGGCAGTCCCAGGGGGTGGCACTCTGCAGCGCAACATCACATGAGATGGCTTTGCTTTGCTGTCAACCTGGGTGCAAATATCGGCTTCCACAGGCTGGTGTCTGTCTGGCATGTATCTACAAGGATGTGGCAAGCATGTCTCGTTTGAACGTAAGATTTCCAACCCTTTTGTCATTCTGGGGCTGTACAGCTGTGCTATTGCTGTTCTTCCTCTGTCACCAGGTTGTTGAAGTTGGCTGCACAAGCCAAATAATGACATATAGTCCTCACAGAGAGGAGGTGAGGATGGGAAAGCTTGAGACAAGAGCCAACTTTGGGAGATAACTAATTCATACTAAGCATAGTGTGTCCAAAGTTATTTAAGGCAATGAAGGGCCAGTATGCCAAATGCAACCCATGGAGTTCTGAAGGCTTCCCATAGTTTCCTCCCCCAACAAAGCAGGGTGAAGGCAAAACTGATCAATGGCTCCAAATTTCAGATTAGAAACAAAATATATTTGCTGCTTCTTTGTTGACAAAGGTAAAGCACGAGCTGTATGCCTGAGGCACAGGTATTGGGTATGACCTTTTATAATAGCTGAAGTTACCTGGATCTCTGGGTTCAGCTTGGTCAGAACAAGATTTTGGCAAGGGCAGATAAGACATTTCACTAGGTATCTAGCAATTAAAGCTTCACTTTGGATTCGTCCCAAAGGTCAGTTAACCTAGCTGTTACTGAGATGGATCATTATACCTGTCAATCAGGCTGAAGAAACAAAGGTGGCTGGCTATGATGCTAGTGATATATTTCTTCCCTTTGGGCCACTTTCTACAGAAATTGTGTATACCATATTTACATTCACCTGATTGCCTATCTAATATGGCAGAAACCTGTGTCCTTGTACCAGTCCTGAGTGATGTGTTTTGTGGGATGTTCTGAATAAACACACCTGGAATTCCTGGAGGACCTATTTCCCCTCGTTGGCCAATGCCAGTATCTCCTTTCTCACCCTTTGCTCCTCTTTCTCCTGTAGAGAGGGAAAGAAAAATAATGAACTGATGAGCATGATCTACAGAACTAAAGAACACTACCTTACGTCTTCCATCCGCACTGAAACCTATACATTTGCTAATAATAGTTCCTAATTGTGACCAGCCCTCTGAGATGAGATGTTAAGTAAGAATGAAGACTCACCCCACTCCAATTCTGGACAGAGGTGGAACACACCACTGGTCACATTCACCACCTCTGGTTCAACAGACTGAGGCTGCTTCTAACACATGTGTTTTGAAGACCACTTAGATGCTACTAAGAGGAGAGGTGGATGCCAAGGTGTGGTGGACATATCCCTTCACAGGACTTCGCAGACACACCAAGTTTCACTCACCTTTGGGACCAATTGGTCCAGCTGGCCCTTCAGACCCAGTCTGTCCAGGCCGGCCAGGCTCTCCCGGAGGGCCAGTTCTTCCCGGGAGTCCTTCCTTCCCAGGGGGACCAGGAGGTCCTGGTCTTCCATGGGATGCTTTTACATGTGCAGGCTGTATCTGAGCCAGGAGATAGGCTAACTTTGCTGTGAAGAGAAGGAAATGGGTTTGTTATACTAGAGGGTCAGTGCTCCAAGACATGGAGAGCCAGAACAAGTGGCCCAGTAAAGTCCAAGTATTGTCACAGATCAATTTTTCAGGGCCACCCATTTGTTGTCCCCATGTTATCCTTCTCCATAAGCCATGATGGTGCCTCCCTGACCCTCTCTAAATTATTTAAATCTCATTTCTCAGTAGCTTTAAGCTTCATCTAAATTTCATACATAATCCTAAACACTTCTCTCATCCTCTGCTTCGTGTCCACCAAGGATCTGAAGTGTCTTTTAGTTTAGCTGTGCAGCTGGTGGATGTTTGTCAAACTGGAATCATTGCTGCTCAGAAAAGAAGAGCCTATTTCCACTCTGCGACACAGAATGAGATGTTACATGGCTGCTCTGCAGGGACAAAGCTTACTTTTCTTGTTCTGGGCTGTTACACACGTGGAGGTAAAGCTAATGTACCCGTCTCTGGCTGCAAAGTCAGAAAGTGTAATTAAGGCAGCTTCCTGCATCAACATATTCTCCAGTTTCCATGCAGGCACATTGCTTGCCACTTCCAGATTCAGACCTGGAGCAGCTTAGAGAGCACTTAAGACATACTCAGCATCACAAAAACATCCTACAGAATGGAGTGAGAAGGATTTTCTGTCTTCTCTTCATTGATCTAATATCTTGAATGCTTTTAGATTGGCATGGAATTTGAAGTTTGAGAGTATGTAAATAAAATCCTTCAAATAAATCACTCCATTGAACCACGATCTTTAGTCTCAAGAAAATGCCCATAGCTACATTTCACCTGCTCCAGGAGCTGTTGGAAGAGCTCAACATTTCACTGCAGACGAGGTCAGTAGTGGTCTGCAATTCATGTACTTTGAGAGAAGCAGCAGTCCACATCCACTCCACCTCCTCATATTGATGAGTATCAAATGTCACAGCCAGAAACTAGGAACATTTCTCCTCCAGCTGGGACCTCAAAAGCAGGTTTACATATTACTCTGATTACTTTCTTTTCTAGGACCCCAAATTTTTATGTTTTAATTTGTATCTTCTCTTGCCCTACCATCACAGCACAGGCATCTGTAGCAATGAGTCTGCAGCAAAGCTGGTTTAGTAGCAAAAAGCCATGAGATGACTAACACAGGCAATGGCCTTGGGTTGAAGAAGGGAGAAAGCTCCTTTACTCTTGCTGGGAACATCAAGCCTGGGGAACCGTAAAACTTGCTAAACACATTTTGTTTTACACACTCCTCTTTCCAGGCATTGAATCCTGTAAGCAGGAGAGGTTCAGTGCCAGTTACATCACTACAGCTATGGAAAGTATCTTTCATACTTTCAGATATATCTGCTGGCTTCCCAGAGCTGATTACTTACCATCTAGCTGCTTGTCTAACTCCTGTTGGATGAGCCTTCTCAAAGTCTCTAGAGATGGGGGTTCTCCCTAGAGAGTAATAATCACAGTAATAACAAGATATAATAATCACAGACAGGGGATGTGCAAGTGAAACCCTCTACAAAGGGTTTAGTAGGTTGCTTTTCATCACCCACCGCATACACGGGGCTGCAGGGGCTGCCTGAAAGAAGAATGTAACAGGACACAAAACATTCCCAACCTGCTGGCAAGCCATGGGCTCAGTGGTGTAGAGCAGGAAGCCTCGTCAGAAGGCATAGTTGGTACACTGTCCCTGTCTCCTTCCTAAAGAAAATCTCCCTCCTATACAGTCATAAGAGAAGTAGTAGAAATCAAATCAGGAGAGATCCTCTGTCCTACTAGACCACAGCGGAAAGCCTACCTCCTTTTTCAGCGTTGCACGTTTGCATGCAGAGAGGAGCATGCGTGCCCCCGGCGTAGCTAAGGTGGGCATCTAGACTTGCTATGAACACTTATATTGGAAGCATCACCTGCCAACAGGCCTTATCTCGGGGAACAGAAGCCAGTTTACGTGTATGATACCCATTCTTCCCAACAAGTGCAAGGTTCTGCCTGATTTCAGGCTGTTGAAGAGAGACAGGAGATGTGGCTGCCTGGCCTTGGTTCCCTACCCAGCCTCAAGGGACAGTATCTTTCATCTCCTTTCTCAGCTCTTTTGTGTGACATTGCTGTTGAACAGCTGTAACAGCAGTCAGAACTCAAAGCTATGTGAACAAGAAGTCTGGATGATGCAAATGAAAAAATTACGAAAGCATTTTTAGTAGGTGGAAGGAGAATTTTTTAGGTTGTGCCTTTCCAAGAAAATAAAAAAAAAGTGGTTTTAGGGTAACCAGACTCTTGCCTTTGCATAAACTTAAAAAAAAAAAAAAAGCTATATTTTAAAAATAAACCATTTTAAACAAGCAAGATCAAATATTTTCCTTTGTAAATCATAAAATGAGAAGTTTCTCTTGAAATGCACTTTTCGCTTTTTGGCTAAAATTATTCTTTGAATTTCTGCTGCCAGTTTTGAAAACACCTCTGGTCAACCTAAAGACTGCATTCTTTGTGTATGATCTATTTGCATGAAAGTGTCGCTTTTCCCTCACACCTATCCCTTTAACATACAAAGATGCCGTCTGTGTCCTCTATGTTTATAAAAACCTTGTGAAGTCTTCTAACTCATAAGTTATTCATCATTAAGAAATGTAGATTTGATTAAATAGCTAAGAGACATTTTGATTTTAACCAATAATATTGCTGGAAAGTACAGAGCTGGTCTATTTGCTACCTTCTTCCCAACACAAATTTTGCATGTGAAGAAAATGTGTTTGTTGGTGAAAAAAGGAACAATTTTGTCATTAATTACTAAACCTTTCTGATGGCTCTTAGTGAATACCCCAGTAAGTAAACATGATTGTGGAACACACTTTGATGGCTTATAAATTATCTTTTCAAGTTTTCACCCTATTAGTTGAATTAAGCCTCCCTAATCATCACTGGATTGAATCAAATCTCTATGTTGTTGAAACGCACAAAGAAGTGTTTTGTCTAAAATTTACCCAGCTTTTACATCAGAGTTTATGTCACTGTTTATTCCCCTCTGAGGTAATCTCAAATTCACCCTCAGGATGGGCATAGCAGCTTCACTAGCGTTGGTAGTTTTTCTCATTCTTCTACATACACTACCCTCAAGCAGTCTCAGCAGTGAGTTTGTTTCCCATTAGGGAACAAAAGAAAAAAAAAAAGATAATATTAAACAAAAATAGGATTTCATGAATTCTGATGAGCTGACTCCAGGATTTCCAGGAACAGAGCACTGACCTTTCCACGGCTCAGCATTTTGTCTCTCATAACAACCAGCAGCAGAGGAAGGCGTAAGACCTCTGTATGAAATGCTACACATTAACACCGTTATAGAAAGACGCTTTTTCAGACTCCATGGACAAAGTCACATGACCTGATTTAGGCTTTTAGGGGTATAAGGTGTCAGGGACTGGCCGCCCTGGCTATAGGTCTGGATTGCTCAGCTCTCCTGAAGTTTAATCCAACACTCCTCACAACACGTCCCTCAGATATGCTATAGGCTTCCTTTTTGTGTATCAAGAGATAAAGCCGCTGTCCCCCCGTTATAACACACACTTGTGCTGGTTTCTGCCAGCCTTACTGTTATCTTGGGTACTTTTCTGATCACTCATTGTGGCTGCAGAATTACTGAACAAAGTCCTTCTCTGGCAGCCTTACCCTTGGTCCTGGAAATCCTGGCTGTCCTGGAGGACCGGGAGGTCCAACTTGCCCACTGTCTCCTGGGGGTCCATGGGGTCCCATCAGTCCTGGATGGCCTTTATGACCAGGTATCCCAGGGTCACCTGGAGGACCCTTTTCTCCCTGAGGACCTTTTTCACCTTTGAAGCCAGGCTGTCCCTAAGTGAAAAAAACCCAACATTACCACCACAAAATAGGAGACAGACTTCTGATTTCCAAGCACAGCAAAACATGAAGAGCTGAGCTGGCAAAGTTGCTGAATACAACATCTGGTGCATTGCAAATGATCCACAAATTATTACTGACAGAGAATGATTAAAGAGAGGGCTGGGAGGGTGGAGAGCGTGGCAGATCTCTACAGGCCACGCTTCACTCTTGAATAACCCCTTCCTTGGCCCCTAACTCAAAATATTTCTTTTTATTTCAACATAATGAAATAACTAACAATATTCTCCAACCTACCCTCTCTCCTTTGGAGCCAATTTCACCTGGTTTTCCTGGTGCACCCTAAAACAAAATAAAGGTGAGCATGAAAGAGCTATCCATAATAACAATAAATAATAAAGCGCATGCCTTTGCAATGATTCTTATGACCTGGGGAAAATTTCTTTCTCTGTCAGTCCCACAGGTTCCTGAGAGCTCCCTGTTTGCTCTCAAATATCAACAATTCAAGAAAAAAATCAAATTATTGCAACCCAGGCAGCATCCTTGATGCTTTTTTCCCAAGAACCAGCCCTCCTTTGAAAAACTGGGAATTTAACTTACCTCTTTTCCCGGAGGACCTTTCTCTCCTGGCTCTCCCTGAGAGATACAGAGAGTGAATATAGCAACAAACCGCAAGGAGTTGCAAGAAAGACCCTTCCTAATAACTACAAGTCTTGTTTTCTGTTTAGAGTCTAAGTTTTCTGCTACAATAACAGTGGATTTGGATGATTTAGCCTTATCCTACTGCTGTAGGTCATTCCTGGAAAGACATATCCTACTATTTAGAAAACATTTGCTGGTAAAGCTGCATACCATGTAAATGTTTGCAAATAAAAGAAATTATTTTCTGCTGAACCAGCTGAGATCAGGATAGATGTTTCACTGAAAGTGTGTTCCTGATTTCAACCTGTTTTACTCCTTTTTCGTACAGACATTTCACAAGGTTTTGCATACTTTACTTGGGCTGGTTTAGCTTAAGCAGTGCCAATGTTATAGCCATAACAGTTTAAAGATGTAGAGGAAGTAAATTTTGTAAGAAGAGGTACCATTTTGTATTACACCAGCTGAGATAATGGATATTGAGCCAGTGATAAAGCAAGTTTGAGACTGAAAGCTTGCCTGTGTTTCAGAACTGTATCATAGAATTACAGAATGGTTTTGACTGGAAGGAACCATTAAAGATCATCTGGTCCACCCCCCAATATCTAATAACCTCAGTTCAAACAAGAACCCCATTAGGATTTTTTTTCTACACTCTGCATTTATAATGTGGTAATTAGGCAATACAATATTTGCATTTTAACATGTCAGTGAAAAAAAAGTCACTGTAGTCTTGAAGTGCACTGATAAAGCAAAGCAAACATTAAATTAGTTATTTCTAAAATTTTGCCCACTTTCCTATGTCATGAATGGAAAGATTCATCTTTATAGTCCATTTACAATCCACACATATGGTCATATTTATAATGTGTGCATGCAAACGGTATTTTTCCCATAACCTGGAAACATATATAACGTGTTGGAGCAGGTCCAGAGGAGGCCACAAAAATGATCAGAGGGATGGAACATCTCTCCTAAGAGGACAGGCTGAGAGAGTTGAGGTTGTTCAACCTGGAAAAGAAAATGCTCTGGGGATACCTACTTGCAGCCTTCCAGTACTT